TTAAAGTTGGGTAACTTTGCTATTTTATTTGAAATTTCGGCAACTATATATCTAAACTGCAATTTACAGATTATTTAGCAATTATTCACGTGACAAAGTCGCAGATCTTTTACAAATTTGGATTTATTTATATATATTGGATTCTTTATAAAGCAAGATCAGCATAAAAATTTTCGGCAAGTGGCGCAGCAAGTGATGTCTTTAGATGATTCGCACCATAATACAAATGTTTACTTTGTCTGGTTTTGTTACAGCATGCCCCATATAATAAATGTATTAATACTGTTGATCATGTTGAAGAAGCTATAAATGATTCAACAATAGAAGGTAACAATAAACTTCTTAGATATAAAATGGAGATGGTATAACTTTGATAATTTTAGAAACTTAAACAAATACTATCATTTTCATTTTAATAGAGTAGTGATGATATTGGAAAAGTTTATGTTTCTAAAAAATCTGGTGACTCAAAAATTCCTTTAAGAATAATAATTTTAATAAGGATGGCCAATTAAATATTCTTGAGGCATTAACAGATGATAGAAAAAGATATTTGTATATAAAATTCCTCAACATGTAGAAGATCCATTTAAAGATATTCTTTATCCAGAACCTAGTTAAATTTATAATTCTAATATATAATTTCAACTTGTGGGTTTTAATTTCGACTTCATGTATAGTTATGATCCTGATTTTCAAATCAGAACATAAACTTATTAAATTATTTGATTTTATTCCTTAGGAATTAAAATCTTTGGATAATTATCTTCAAGCAATCTATCTTTTATCGACTCACCTGCACACAATAATTATTTATCAGAAAATATAATACCTGCATCAGCAGATTATCGTAGACAATATTATCTTCGTAAAACGATTACTCTTCAAAGGAGATATGGTGATTTATCAAATATCCCAGAAAATATTTTGCATTTGGTTCCTTGATTAGGTCTCTCGGGATACAAGAGAAGCTATGTACTATAAAAACGTATTATCAACTTTTTTATAAAGAGGTTTTTAAAAAGAGAAAAAATCTTCCAAAGAAACCTCAACCATTCCTATAAAAAAACTCCAAAAAAACAGTATTTTTTTTCAGATTTCCTATATGGAAAATGACCTATGAAAATATACTGAAAGCAACACTGAAAATGTGTGGAAAATGTCACAGAAAATTCATTGAATATATATTAATATGTTTTTTCATGCAGTTTCCATACGGAAAAACCAGAAAATGATTTTCGGAAAAAATTTTTATAGGGCAATATTTTGCTTTACCTGGATGATCATTTTAAGAAAAATTTTTAAAAAATAATAGATATTGCTTTTTAGATCTATTTGATAATATAATGCCAGCTTGTTTGGAATTTTGTTTTGGGAAGCCATTTTGATGAATATATATCATCAATTTTTCAGTTATGAACTGTTTTGAAAAAAAAGTTATAATAAAATAATGTTAGCCTTCCTTTCTGATGTTTTATATTGGCAAAGCATGTACAAGGACTTTCATAGCTTGGATCGACGTTATACAGCTGACAAAGATTTTAATACAGGAACTTTAAGAAAAGATGCAATTAATTTTGATAGCAATAAACATAATTCGAATTTATAGATCCACTTATAACTAAAAAAAAAATTACCCATTAAAAAAAAAGAATCTTGATAATATGGTTAGGAAATCGGCTCTATTTCTAATTAATTTTTTTCAAAAACATTAGCTAATCTAAATGCACACCAAAAGTAGATGATAAATCCTATTTATCTCCAACATTCAACATAGAAATGATGGTAGCTACATTACCAATTGGTTATTGTACCAATTATCCGCCCAGTTTTGGTTACAAAAATTGTGAAATAGCAGATGACAAGAACGATTAATTTGTGGTCATGAATATCATTATCAATGTATTCAAGATCTACAGCTTAAATGACAACATTATATTGGTTATTTATTGAGTATTTAGGAAATTTACATGATGATAGATTAGAAAGTTTAGATATTAGGCGAAAAAGGTGAAGAGGATGAATACTATAAATAATATTAATTTTAAAAAGGGTATTTAAACCTCGATCAATGTTTAAAAAACGCATTTCCAAAAAAAAAATTTCGGTGCATGATTTTGTGGAACAAATGAATGTCCGCCATGCTTTGAAAGACCAAACTTTTATTCATTGATTGGTCAGATTAATATGTGAAAAATGATTATTGAATTTTGTACACTATATAATTGGTGGGTTGAGTGAATATCAACAATTAATTATTATTTGGCCACTAAATAATAAATAAAAATATTCAATATAACATCCTCCTTTTCTTTCACCGTTTCCTTTACAATCTCACCTATCTACTGAAAATTGATGCAAAAATCGGGCCAGAGGTTACATGTCTTCATTCAAAAAAAAAAGCAATGGAACAATGTAGCAAAATATTATGTGCAATTGGAGTAATGGAGAGTGATTTGGAGCTCCATTGCCAACCCTGAGTTACATACAAACTATTCACATGGGTATGATTGCCCAGGATTTATATATGAAGAGATAAAATGCAGATCAATATCTAATCACCAAATTTTTTAGCATCTAATGATTTATTCTTTCTTTATATATATTTATTTTTTAAATAAAATATTTTATAAACAAAAATATTTTATAAACAAAAATAACAAAATCATTGTTTGAAACATGTGTTGTGGAATACTCTTATCCAGATTTTGAATAGAGGTTTGTTTGGCAACAGTGAAGGAGATAGAGTTAATTTTTAAAAATTCCTCACGTATAATTATTTTATATATAACGCCCCCACCACCATTTTCTATTATATAAAAAAAGTAACTCCATTTCTATTTATCATGACATTAATATAAATAATAACATTAATCTCATAATCTTGCAATAATAATAATATAATCTTATTATTATTATTATTATTATTAACAAACACACGCACAATAAACAATAAACAAGTCACATGTAACAGCAATTAGAACTTTTTTTTTTTAAAGTTTGTTTTATACATATTAAACTGTATATTTTTTTATGTGGTGTAACCTCGGATTTTTTATATTTCATTTTTATATTTATATTTTATATTATTTATATTATATTTATTTTTTTGTAACTATGAAAGAATTTCATCACGATTTATTGATATTGGATACCAAATATTTGGGATTTAATTTTATTATTGTTATCGATTATCTATTATCTATTAATTATTTTAATTATTGGTTAATTAGCAAATAATGTAAAATAATAAAAATTGGAAAATTTTTTCTTTTTTGTGCATGCATATGTATGCGTGTGTGTGTGTGTATGTATGAATAAAATTAAATGATTGAATAGTTAGTTAGTGTGATGCGCGGAATAGATAAATAAACAGCAAGCACCTACGAGATTTTTAGAAATGAATGTATGAAGATTGAGTTGATGGATGGTAAGTGGTAGTGTTATTACATATATACGTATTTATTTACATAATAAATAACTGATAATAATAAATTTGACAATCAAAACATAGTTTTTTTAACGATCTTCGCATATTTATTTATGCTTAACAGTAAGATTTATTTTAATTTATGTAAATCATTTTCTAATTTAAGAATTTTTTTTATATATAAAAAAAAATCCATATAGTACCAGCACTAGTACTAGTGGATTAATTAAGAATAATAATAATAATTCTCATTTCATTGATATTGTCGATATTGTTTATAATATATGGTATATATGAACCTCCCCTCAAAATTCAATGAATTATTTCTTTCTAAAAAATTTTAAAAATATAAATAGATATTTGAATTTTTACGTATTAATATTTAAATTATGAAATAAGCACTTTGTAATATTGATTTTGTTGCGTTTGTTATCCTAGTTCAAGCCTTTATAATAAATAATAAATAATATTGTTGTTGGTGGTTAAGATGGTTGTGGTAATAATAGCAATTGGATAGATAATTATTCGATATGTGTGTGTGTCTTTGTATGTATATATTTTTTTTATTTTTTGCATTAAAAGGAGACAATTGTTAAATTAATTAAATAAAGATGGATGATCTTAGCACACATACATTTTATTAGTTACACTGCACAATTTCATTATTTCATTTCCTATATGAAATAATATAATCATTTTACCCCACTAAATGAAGAACTTTTTAAATTTACCACATTTTTTTTTGATTGATCTACTTTTTATTGTTATTTATTCTTGTTTCATATATATATATATATACATATATATTGGTACATTAAATTATTAATTTAATATATTAAAAAAAAACAAGTTTAATGTCAAGTTTTTTTTTTAAAAAAAATATTTGAGTGAAACAAAGGTAAAAACGCCTTTTAAATGTTTTAATGGATTAATATTATTATCTACATGTTTGTTTATATTTACATAGAATTTACATGTTATGTTTACATAGAATTTTACATGTTATGTTTACATCAACTCACATTAAATTTGTATTATACAAATTTATATATTTATTTATTTAATCAGCAATAATAATTAATTCAATTGTTAAATTAAATAGTTCTTTTTATATACAAAAACTTGAAATATAACTTGTTATTTACTACATTCTATATTATTTATATTAATATTATTTATATTATGCAATATATGCAGTATGATGATTTTCATGCAAGAACGTATTTTTAAAAGAGGTATCGAAACTTTGAAAACAAATAGATGTGATTTTTAATGTATCTTACCGAAGAAAAGATCTGCATATTTTATAAAAACATAAACTATATAAACACCACAAACATTTTATTAATTCCCCAACCCATACATATATATATTCAAGAACTTTGAATAACAAGGTTTATTTGGATAAATAAAATCTAATTTTAATGCTATATTCTCAAAATCACCCCCCCCCTTCTTGCTCATTGGCACTTTTAAATAAACCATTGTTTTTTTAAATTGCTTTTATTGTTATTCCAAATTTTAGTTCAATAACACTAATAAATACATTTATGAATTATAAGTTGTCAACGGCAAATTCTTTTGAAATGCGACTCTTTGCTTGTCAATAGACAAATATAATAATAGCATTCTAATTCTCAAATTTTTTAATAAAGGTAAGTTTTGTTGATTCTATTTAGATAAGGGGACTGCACAACCCCATATGGGGTTAAAACTGGTATCCAAAATTGTTTTGGTTTTTCAGTATTACTGATATTTTTAGGATCCCAATGAGGGATCTCTTAAAAATCATAAATTTGTTAGTCATGTATGTAATAGATAGTGAATGATAAGTGTAATAAATTAGATTAGATAAAGAATATGATCGTTTAAAACACGTGCAAATAATAAACAATAATAAATGTAAGCAGGGAAAGAAAAACAGCCAATTACTAGTTTTTTCCATGTAAGTAATAGCTATACAAAATAATTAGAGCCTTTCCAGGGTTTAAAATGAGTTCGGGATGTTCATTCATCGCATATTGTAAAGACCCGTTACACGACTAACTAAAGAAGTATAATAATGGTCTCCTCCATTGGGAAGATTTTCCTGTGGAGGGGCACAAGAATATTTTTGAGAAATCTAATTGGTTAGAAGAAGCAAAATGTAAATGTTAATATTGATTCTCTTTAAATGTCAAAGACGACTTTTTTATGAGGAGCTTTCAATGTAAGCTAGATATATATTGAGCCATTTAAGACGTATTTTTTTTTTTAGAGTTTAAAATTTATTCTTATTTAAAATGAGAAACTTTCTGATAAAAAAATAAAATACAATAACTATGTTTATTAAAACTTACTCGTGTTAAATTTATGGCATTACCACATATTCAAGAACTTTGGATAATTGTAAATGGTGAAGATGATGATGACGCTTCAAAAAGATTTGGCATTGTTAGGGAAATTAGGTAAATAATTGAATCGCAAATGTATTATTTTCATGTTTTTTAATATATTATTTAATCTTTTATTTCTGCTTTATTCAAAAGGTGCATTTAAAGATAAAAGGATCATTGTGATATATTTGTTCAAATATCTGAAAAGCTTCAAAATCTAGAAATTCTTAAATTCAATAAATTATAATTGTCCAATTAATTGCTGCTTCATCTGACAACAACGCCTAACAACTCGTTTACTACATTTACTATGTATGTGGCTATAGAGATCCAACGTAAATTCTGAGGCATGCATCAACAGAACTTTTATCTTTTACACTTGTTTGCTTTGCCATGGATAGAATCCCAATCTTTTGATCCAATGATAGTTGGCTGTAATTTAATTAAAAATTCTATTCATTAGGTCAATCTCTCAAGGAGTGTCAAGAATCCAAGCTAATGAATGTAGATTTATTATTATTGATATAGTGTTCACATAAATATTGTATATTTTTATTTTTTATATCAATGTTAAACTGCTGCTAATAATTTGTTACACCAATCCATTTTATTAAGGTCTTTCCTGGGTGGGTTTTAGAAGAAGGTGATGAAGCATGTTACATCTTTTTTAAAATGCTTTCATATTTCATTTAGTAAAATGATGCTGATTTAGTTGAATTAACTGTAATCCATGATCCAAAGAGTCTGTCTTTTAAAGAACCATCCCATTGACACAGTGATTTCTAGTAGTATTTAATGGTAACCAACATCAGTTTGTGAGCGAAACCATCCAAAATGATTTAATTTTTCTTACATTAGTTAGTATAATGATAAGTCACACAGCCAACCAAATATATAATTTTTTAATTTCTAAAAAATTTTTTTTGCAAGTAAATTAATAATGAAAAGTATCAAACAACAACACAAGATAAAAATAATAAAAAACCATCATTGATCAACCATCATAATTACAGCTGCAATTACCACGCTACAAAAACCACAAAAACCGCCTTGTTATAATTAAAATGCTTTTAATTTTAATTTGTTACTTGAAATTTACAAAAAAAATTATTTGCAGAAAAAATTTTCCACGAGAATATATGTGTGTCCTAACTAATCAATTGGTAGATAATAAATAATAATGCATTCTTAAAAAAACCTCTAATTTATCTATTCGTTCGTTTCCTTTATTTCTGGTGTGATGTTTTTCTCGTGTGACAAATTGTGGTATGTGGTCCACAAGACCGACCGAATTTATTAATTAATTTATATTAATTTATATATATAAATAGACTTTTTTTTTTAAAGCTGACAAACTTACTGCATTAAAACTTATAGTTAAACTCGAGATTAAACTTATCATTATAATTAGACTCATTACACGTACACATTACACACAAAAAATAGGCTCGATACACTAGACTCAAAATTAAACTATATTTATAGTGTGTTTTGATGTTTTGTGTGTGAAAATAAATTTTTCTTCTAAAAAAAAAAAAATTCAATTTAATAAATAAATAATCAATAATATACACGCGTGAATGCATATTTATTTACAATAAAAGAATAATAAAAAATAAATAAGTAAATATATTAATTAATTTTAATAATATTTACGTTTATTTTTATTTATATGTGGTAGATTTTTTTTTACATAAACATACATGCAAATAAAAATGTCTCCTTTTTTTTTGACTTTTTTACTTGTTTTGTATACATACAACTCAAAAGATAGATTGTAGCACTACATACATATTTATTTTGCAGAAAAAATGCACATATCAGATATATACATCTTATCTCATATAATTTTATAATAATTACAGTTTTTTTTTTTTGTTAATAATTACATAAATAAATAATATAATAAATAAAATAAATAATATATGTATAAATAAATATATAAAATAAATATTTATAAAATAATAAAAATGTTTATTATTATTATTATTATTGCTATTAATGTAGATTAGTTTTTTTTTTAATAAATAAATAAATAAATAAATAAATTATAATATAATATAATATAATAAATTACTTGACTCTCCGTAAAAAAAAAATTTTTTTTGAAAAATAAAAATAAAAAATTTTTTTACTCTTGGGAAAAATTTTTATATTTTTATTTTTTTTTCTTTAGTCTAAAAAAAAACTATTCTATTTCTTGTAAATTTTGAAATTAATTATCTGAACTTTTTTGGTCTTATCAATGATATTTATCTTTTCTTCTTTTCATTTTTAATAATAATTAATAAATAATAATAATAAGGAAATAAAAAATTTAAATAATAAAAAAATTTTAAAAGGTAAGAAATCATTTAATATATTACGTATATAACATATATAAAATCTAATGTTCATAAATTCTCGTAAAACTTCAATCAATATTACACGTGTATTAAACGATATTTCTATAGCTTCGTTCTTCTACTACTTCTGAATACCCATCACCATCATAATCAAACGTAATAATATGTCAAATAATTCTACTACAAGCGGTAGTGTACTTAGTATTAAAAATATAATATCTGAAGTCGGTTCTAATTCTCAACAACAACAACACCACGCGTCGCCTACCATGTCTTCTTTACCTTATAGAACTAATAATACTGGTGGTTATCATCATAATGAACAACAACAAGGCAGAGATTATTATCAACAGCAACATCATCAACAACCTCCCCCTCCGCTCCCTCAAATGTTAAATACACATCAACATTCACCACCTCCACCACAGCCACCGTTACAACAATATGCATATAGAAATGTAATTTCTGATGAAGCTCCTCATCATAATCATCCTTCTCATCCTCCAAATTCTCAACTTCATCATCATCAACAACAATCACCATATTATCATCCTCATCATCCTCATCATCCATATAATAACAATAATAATGTTTCTTATAGAACCAGTCATGATCATCAAAATGAACAACAACAACAACAAGTTGCTGGTAGAGATTATTATCATCCTCATCAACATCCTCACCAACATCCTCACCAACATCCTCATCAGCATCATCCTCATCCTCCAATGTTAAATCCACAGCAACAAATTTCTAATAATGCAACAAATAATGGTGGCGATTATAATTTTAGAGATAATATAATACCTGACGATGGCTCAAGTAATAACGATGATGCTTGTAGATCTAATAATCCTAACAATTATTCAAATGAACAACAAGTAAGAGATTATCCTCCACAACAACCCACTGTTCATAACCATCAAAATCACCAAAACCATACGCCACCACCGCCTCCTCCTCCACAGCAGCAACAACCACCACCACAACCACCATCATCAAATAACATTCTACAAGAGCCAACGAATCGTCAATCTTTTTCAAATGAGGATTCATTGGCTAATGTTTTGTTACTTTTAGCTAATCAAAAAACCACTACAACCAATAACAACAATACTACAGCCAATAATACTACTAATCATATATCCGATGTTGAAGTAGCAGCAAATGCATTGTCAAATATTCAAAATGATTCTAAACTACAACAACAAAATAATAATAATAATAATAATAATAATAATAATAATAATAATAATAATAATAATAATGTTAGTATTATATTAATAATATTATTATTATATTGCTTTACTAACTATCGATTTTATTTTACCATTAATATATATTAGCCAAGACCAAGAGCTAAAAGCAACCCAATGTCAATATTGTCATTACTAGGTTGGTCTTTAAATAAAATAAAATGAATAATAATAGTGATAATAACATCTAACAAACATATCATATTTACTTAAAGGTGGTGATGAACCTAATACTTCTTCATCAGAACAGGCAAATCAAGTATCATCATCATCAGGAACTTTAATGGTTAATATTTCATTTATTTATTTATTTTTTAAATTTTTTCTTGAAAAGTTGTAATAATAATATATATATATATATATATAGCAAGAAACACCACATCAACATAATGCATCACAAGAACAATATATAGAACAAAATATAAAAATTAATGATGATGATGATATAAACGTTAATTATCATCATCACAGTCATCAAAATCAAAATCAACATAATCATAGTGATAATCAGCAACAACGACAATATAGTCCGTATAATAATAATAATAATAATAATAGTAATAATAGTAATAGTAATAATAAAAAACATTCAAGGCGTTCATCGGTAATTAACAAATTATATATATATATATATATATATATATCTAGAATAATTCTTAGTTTTCTTAATTTAACATTTGAAAATTTTTTATTATAAAAAAAAAGAATAATTCATCGTCATCATCAAATTTATCAATAAGTACAACAAAAATTCCACAAAAAGAAGCAAAAATAATTCAAAAGAAAAGTAGTCCGCAAAGAAGAAGAGCTTCAGATGCTATTCCCATCGATTCAAGTAAGGAATAAAAAATAATATTGATATAATATATATATATATATATAAATTTATAATTATTAGTTCAAAAGTTCATTATAGTAATTCAGATCTTATAATTTATATAGGGCCACCCTCAATAAATGCATCAAAATTATCTGAAGTGCGTGAACAATTAGGCGAAGAGAAAAAAACAAATCATCCTTTAATTGCTCCACAGCTGTCTTCTACAATGTCACAAGTAGCAGGAGGACAACCAAATCCTTACTATAATATGGAATGGGAAAGAAATTCGCAATCATCACCACCACCACCACCCTATCATCAACATCAACAACAACAATATCATCAACAACAACACCATCAAAGACCACCGTCAATAGATGGTGTAGATATACCACCTTTTGAACAACAACATCCTCATCCACAACATCCTTCTTCAAATATTTATCTACAACAACAATCTCAAGGAATTTCATCATCACCACCGCCACCACAACCACCTATAATCAACAATGATCCAAAAAATAAACATTTTCAAATTGGTCCAAATGAAAGAATTCATCCACAAAAAGTATCTCCGCCACCACCTCCTCATCCTTCATATCACAATCACCATCATCACCATCCTTCAATGATGCCACCTCCACTTCTACATGCACATTCACATATTTCAAACGGGTACACAAATGGTTATCCAAATGGACCCATGAATGGTAATATGATAAGAAATCATATGGTAATTATAAATACTGTTTTGCTATTGATTATATTTATATATTTATTAAATACTTATGAACTTATTAATTAATTTGAATTATATCGTATATTTAGGAATTACCACCAAATATGTCACATCAAATATCACCTCAAAATGGTCATATACGTAATAATATACCAAGCGCTTTTGATCAATTTCCTAGAAAATATCATGATATGGTATTTATTTATAATATATAAAAAAATTGTTATAAACAAGATATGATCAAACTAATCGAGCGTTTTTTTAGAAGCATGACCCTAAATTAAAACGGAATGCAACACATGCTTACATTACTTATATGATTTATACAAATCAAACGGTAGGTTGTCTGGTTTTGAAGATACTATACGCACTTTTATTTATATATGTGCGTGTATTTATTGAAAAAATTTTTTTTAACAGGAAAAAAATAAAGATGGTCAAATGATGCCACATCCGCCACCGCCACCGCCAAATAATATGATACAAAATCGTCATCTAATAGGACCCTCACAGCCGCCGCCGCCACCACCACCACCACCACCACCTTCTGTTAATGGTAATGGTTATGGCAGTGGACCTAGCAATAATAGTAATCATCATCATAACCCTCATCCTCATCCTCATTCTCATCATTATTATAGTCCCACAACAAATAATGTTCCTCCTATAAATGGTCCAAATGTTTATCCCTATTAAACAATAATACATATATTATTGCAGTAGGACAACTTATTTTTATCGGTAGATTTGACAAATATATAAAATTATTATTTATTATTATTATTACTCATAATGTTTTGTTTGATATATACATGCATACAAATACACATTGCATTCATCCATTCATGAACAATTTTATATAAATATATATATATATATATATATATATATATATATTAAAAAAACAATAATTACTATTCAATTAATTAATTAATTAATTTTTTTTGATATATAATCTTTTTTATTTTTATATAAATCATTTTTTTCTTTACTTGTTTTTGTAAATTTTTCTTTTTTCTCTTTTTAATTATATTTTAGATTGGGTTTTCAATAATTTTTTTTTTAATATTTTTTTTAAAAAAAATAATAAATAAATGAATAAAAAATAAAAAGCTTATTAATTTTTTCATGGAGGAAAAACTCGGACTAGTCCGAGGTTGTCACACACATATGGATTATAAAAGTAGGTGGTTATGTTTTTGTTTTTTTTTTATGAACTAATCCGGAATGCTTATGGGTTAATTTGTAATAACAGTAAGATTAATGTGAGATCGATTCGGAAGATTTTATACTTTTAATTGTATTAATTAAAACAAATTACATATACACTCACCTACCATAAATATCCGACCACCCAAGTCGTGTAACGTCAAATGAAAAGTGTCCTTACTAAAAAAGTAACTTTTTCTTAAATAAAACCTTTTTTTACTTTACTATGTAGACCTGTACCTGATATCAAAGTCTCTAAATTACAAAAATTTCGAAAGGTTTGGTATGGTATTAATGGAAACATTTAGCAAATAGTCCAAAAAAGCAAATTTTCAATCGGAACCTTTACATGTAATAAAGTTCAAATTTCTTCATTGTAATGTATATTATTTCATTAATAAAATATGCTCAACGTAACAGATTACATATATCTACAATATGGTGTTGGCATAAATTAGTTCGTGAAAAGGGTTTAAAAAAATATCCGACCACCCCGTAATTTTATTATGTAAAACACTTAATAAAGTTGACAAAATGCAAATTTTGAGGCTTTACGTTTTGTTGTCTATACTTGATCAAATTTTCTCAATGTTTTCATAAAGATCACGGAATTTTTTGCCTAGTTTAAAATTTTCATCCTAAATTCATTATTAATGCAAACTCAACGAGACTTTAAGTTTATATGCAAATTAACTTTAAAAATCATGTTTACTTAATGCACCAGTCCCTCTTTGATTAATAAAATTTTGAATTATCATCAGGTGGTGGATATTTATGGTAGAGGAGTGTACATGCCAATTATTATATAGAAAAACACCTCCATTTAAGAACAACATCTTTATAAGAACATTATCAGAAAAGCCACTCGCTATGTTTCTGACAGGATTATTATATAGAGGTACCACTGTATATGATTTATGATTTTTTTTATAAGATTACAACTATAATTAAATTTATACAATGTCTCAATATGATGGTTCTTGTCGAAATATCAATGCAGTTGTCACAATAGAAACAATGGATTTTACGCTACCTCAAGGATCTAATTTTTCCTTCGTATTTATACCTATTACTATGTACGGAATAGGCACTTAATAGATACGGAATGAATTAGAAAACCTCATTTTTGATACAGAATACATACTAACACTAACACTAATACGGAATCATTATGGAATATTTTAGGATATTGTTTCCGTACATGAAAGAATGAATTTTAATTTTAATTTTAATATTAATACGGAGTACATGCGGGAAAATGTCCTCAAAAACGTTCCGTGAGTATTCCGTACCGTTTATATTTTTAGTACAGAAAGGCACATCAGTATCAAAAACGCGTTTTTCCATTACTATTTCCGTATATAGGATAAGGAATATAGTAATAGGGATATAATCGATCCCTTAATATTAATGATCAGACTGGCGGATAGTTTTTGATTACGGATCAAAATTTCAGAAATTATTATTATTATAGAATATCCGAACGATATAAAATTTATTTTATTATTATTATTGTTTATTTTTTGAATTAATTCAACGTTTTTTCACTTCGTCTTTGTAATGCTCAAATACGGTCAAATAAGCATGACTTGCGTACTAAGTGAAAGTTTTCACACAAAATATTGCAATGATGTCATAGTTTTGCACCCGAAATAAATTTGTTGCTCGAACGCGTCGCGATTTTTCGAATTTGTGCACGTTTAAAAATGACTTTTGCAATTCGTCTCTGAAATACTCGAAAACCATCAAGTATACAAGTCTCACATATTAAGTAAAAGTTGTTCCTCATGCCAAAAACTGAGTCGCTTTAAACTCAGTTTGTAGAAACCCGATTGTAAATTGCCAAAGTTTTAAAGTCATTCTTTCTTTGCTTTAAATCTGACTTGGTTTTTAGATTACAAAAACATTTTGAGCTTTGTTTCATCTATAAACAATGCCTTTTGTTCTTTTACTTACATAATGTACACATCCATTAAACTAAATTTATGAAATTATTGCTATTGTAGTGCTTTTAATAATATTTATATCATAATTCAAGGTAAAGAATTTTGTTGAATCCCACCAATTATCCGATGAAATCCGACGGATGTGTTTTCTGTACAATAGTAATGAATGACTTGGCGACGGATTAAATTTTAGAGGCAACAAGCTGACGGACAGATATCCACGGATCGCATCGCTAGTTATAAATCAATTACTTTTTAATCTGTTGGGTTAATCACATGATATTACAATTTTCTGATTATGGAGAAATTTATTTTTTATTTCATTGAAAAATAATATTAAAGGGAACAAATGATTGGTTTTTTCATTGACTTAAATTGGATGGATTAATTTCAAAGATCATATTTCATCAAAAAATCCCATATTGCATAATAATAAAAGAATGAAATTTTTTTAATATACTTATGTAATTAATTGCAAATATTCAAATATAAGGTTTAAACCTTAACAAGAATTTTTTTTTCTTTCAAATGGAATTCCTTATAAAAAATTAAAATTATGATATGCAATTTTGCATTATGTAGGGATCCACAGTGAAGTTTCATCCCTATCACACTTATCTCAGGGCGACTCTTGCCACACTGCCCCGCATACGCTAAAACCCTTACTTCATCTTTTTATACCCAATCAAAATAAAGACGGGGTTTAGTGTACCCAGGCAAACCCAAAAAATTTCGGTCAGATAGCTCCTCAATTAGTTGCAACTAAATACGGCATATGAAAATTGAATTGCAGCTAATTGCAGTTTCCATATTTAGTCGAACCGAACCCAAAAACTTTTTGAACTGTACCAATCATAATTGAGGTCAAAATTATTGAATTTCAATTGAAAATTTGCATTGCACCACCTATCATTCGTGATGCAAGATGCAGGGACTTAATTCGTGGCGCATGACAATTTATTAACCAACAAAACATGAACATTGATGTTACATTAAAACTAAAAGTTTTCATGTAATAAATAAAGAGTTATATACTGAGTTAATTCCTACATACATTACGAATTGCGTCTTGTGTAATGATGGAGACCGAAATTATTTTAGCAAATCCGAACTAGTTTCGCCCACAGAAATTAGGAATTTAGGGTTTTAAACTAGTGACGAAACTTAAATTTGTTTAAACTGTGGGCGAACTTTTAAACTGTCAAATCTACGAACAAAGTTTATATTGTGATAAATAAAACAGATTTATCGAAGTACTGTCCAACCGTATGTCGGGCACGTAATCTATATAGTCTTTTTCGGTTTTATTTTTATTAATATTTTATATTCGTATTTTATTATTTAATACTGTATATTAATTAACTTTAAAAGAAAAGATTATCGTAAAAATAACGTCACTTTTTGACCTAATTCAATTTGTAATAATAATAAACATTTTTATAATTTAATAATAAAACAAATTAAATCTTCATTTTTGTATATAGTCGGAAATTAAACAGTAATAGTAGGGGTTTAATTGTCCGTTTGGTTTTCGTCAATTTCTCTAGAAAATTTTCATGGGCGAAATTAGGCTTAAACTATTGGTAGTCTTGTGTCTTGAACTATAACTTGCATCATTAATTACGTCTTGCGTCACGAATTGCGTCTTGCATCTCTCGCATCACGAATTATGTCTTGCGTCATGCACAACACCAGTTGCAGCTTTTAAACCAATATAACTGTTTCACTTTTTATATTTAATTAATAAAATTAGGCGAATAAAATTTATCTAAATCTATGTAAATCGCAAAATTTTCTTACTAAACCCGAAACCAACCCAAAATTTTCGAGCCGGTTTCGGGTTTGCCTTTAAAACATTCGGGCTGGCGCTTAACCAGTCCGAACCGACCCGTTTGGAGTTTTAGGAATAATTAATTGAGAATTTTAAATTAATTAAAAAATATTTATAGATTTTTTTTTGTTTTGTCATTTGTTATTTTATGTTCCTAGAATTTGATAGTTAATTGGAACGATTACATACATTAATTAATAAATAAATAGTTTGCATAAGGTAAATCTACTTTATTTTAAAGTTTGCAACACGAATATTTGAATCGCGTGACACAATGAGTTTTGACCATTAATTATTGTTATGAAGTAAATCGCTATTATATTTTCTGCAAAAAGTTTTTATTATAAAATAAATCCTACATTTCAATTTATACAGTTTAAATGAATTGGTTGAGACCCTTCTTTCTAATAATAATAATAATAATAAACAAATATTGATTTAATAGCCAATTCTTTAATCGAGATTTCCGCGTGGAAATGGAGCTTCGAAGCCTGCAAAAGGGCCTTTTGTATAAAATATCATTGGACGATATTCTGGCTGTTCATCCATAACTCTAAATAAATAAAAATAATGATACAATTAAATATTTAGTCATTTGCAGTTTAATCCATTATTCTTTAATTTTTAATTAATTACCGAGAGCTTTTGAATTTTTCGATTAAAGCTTTTTTTCCCTGAACATTTGCATAAGAAAGCTCACAACGTTTATCGCTATTAAAACGACCCCATTTTTTACCAACGTGAAGTTGTGCAAATGAAATTACCGCACTTATATATATACATACATGTGTATGTATATATATATATATGTTTAGTACTAAGAAAAAAAATATATTTAAAATAATAGTGATATTAAAAATTACTTACTCTACTGATGTGAAATTAATGAATGCATATCCAACATTACATTTATTTTTAAAATCAATTCGTAAATAAACGAAATCATATTGACCTCTATGTGTTTCGTTAAGCCATTCTAACAACATTTTCTATTTTAACATCGTTAATATCAAAACATAATTAGTGAACTTTAAAAAAAAAAATCAATAAAATAAATTCACAAGTAGAGGAATAAAATTAACATATAAGTTAAAAGTTTTATATAGTATTTACAGTATTTGATTATCAAAGAAATATAAAAGACAAAAGACGCCAACATGTCTAAAAATACTGGAGAAATGACACGATCTTCCTCTCTTAAATTCAAACTAAAACTTGTAGCGACATCAAAACCTCTTTCAACATCAGAATTACTAAAACGATTAAAAGTAATTGTTTTTTTTATAATTGTGATTTTACACAAGTCATTTCATTTGCATACTTAAAAACCACTATCTCATATATTCATATTCGTATTCATATATTTACGTGACTGTAGAGTTTATTTGGAGAATTATCTACAATGGAACAAGAAGAGGTTGACCAAAATTCATTAAAAAGTATAACTCATGATCTTATAAATAAAAGTTTGATGGGGCATAAAGATAATGGAATAAAGGCCTATGTAGCATGTTGTATTTCTGATTTATTGAGACTTTATGCTCCTGATGCTCCTTACACAGATCACGAATTGAGAGTAAGTTTGATTAATTTAATTTATATGTGTTTGATTCATTATATATATTTATATATTAATTGGTTAGTTTTTTAATAAATAAAGGAAATTTTTGTATTTTTTGTCCAACAACTTCAAAATATTGGAAAAATAGATGGTCCATATTTTGATTTATATTTCCATTTACTGGAAAATTTGTCAACAGTAAAAATTGTTTTATTAATTCTTGAATTACAAGATTATGAAGAAATTTTAATTGAGTTATTTCGTAATTTTTTTGACGTTGTTAGGTAAGGAAGAAAAAATATTAGTTGAATTATTTGATGTGGTATTCTATCAGATATTTTGATCCTTGCTTCATTCTTTCTTGCAATTATTAAATCATTTCTTTTTTTTTTTTTTTTTTATTTAGACCAGAATTGTCAAATATAGTTTATTCGCATATGGTAGATATTCTTGAACAATTAATCAATGACGGTAATGCTCTACCTCAGGATGTGATTGACATTATTCTGGCACAATTTTTAAGAAAAAGAAAGGTTTGGGTTTTGGAATTGATTATTTAATAAACTATTTCAAGTTGTTAAAATAATAATATAATATATATTTAGGATGAAAACCCAACAGCATATAGATTAGCATGTGATGTTTGTAGGGCAGCAACTGATAAACTTCAACGATATGTTTGTCAAGTACTTTAAAATTCATAATATCTGTTTGATCTGTTTTAATTCATTCGTGTTAGGATTTTTATTTTAATAAATTTAATAAATTTATTTTGATTTTTAGTATTTTACAGATGTGATTGTAGCAGCAGAAAAGACGGGGACATCAGCTGATGAATTGAATGATTTTAAAACTGCACATGATCTTATCAAGGAATTAAATAGAGTGGCTCCTGGTTTATTACTTAATGTGATACCGCAACTGGAAGAAGAGTTAAAAGTAAATTTAATTATTTTTTATTGTTTTTTTAATTTTTCAAAATTTCATTTCACCATAATATTTTATTATTAGCTTGATGACTTAAATTTGAGAATGCTTGCAACACAAGTACTTGGCGAAATGTTTTCAGAGAAAGATTCCACTTTGGCTAGTAGATATGACAGTGTATGGAGAACGTGGCTATTAAGGTTTCCACATACGTTTATGCATACATATATATAGCATTGTTAAAAATAATTCATTATTATCATTATTAAAGAAATACTTACATAATAGTTTCATTACTTAAAAGGCGGAATGACAAGGTGGCTGATGTTAGGTGTACATGGGTAGAATTTTGTTTGCCATTATACACCAATCATCATGAATTAGCGGATCAAATTAATGGTAATTATTTCGCTTTAATAATTTTGGTTAAATATTAGATAAGATATTATTGTTTATTAAATTTTTTTTTTAAAAAAATAAATCAGAGGCGATTATTACCAAATTATCAGATCCTGATGATAAAGTTCGAATAGCTGTTTGTAGAGTTTTTTGTCAATTAGAATATGAATGTGCTTCAAAACATGTCAAAAAAGATTTATTTATCGAACTTGCTAAACGCTGTCGCGATCGTAAAGTAATTAATCACCTAATAGTAACTAATAATAATATTCATTGAATTTTTATTTTATATAAATGCTAAATTGATATATACATTAAAAAAAGCATGGTGTCAGACAAGAAGCTATAAAGGCTTTGGCCCGTTTATATAACATGGCATATTTGGAAATGTAAGTTAAATACACAGTGAAGAAGGGTGTGTTTTGTAATATAAAAATTGTGAATTTATTAACATAATACAACACATATAATTTAATTGTTAGTCTTGATAATGAAGCTAATGCACCTGAAAAATTTGGATGGATTCCTTCAGAATTATTGAATACTATATATACAAATGACAATGAGATTATGTTAGAATTATTAATTATTTCAATACTTTTTATCAAAATACAAGGTTTTTTTTAATATTATTTTGATTAATCTAGTGCATCTGTAGAAAATGTTTTGCATGAAGAGATATTGGCATCTAATAATGTGGAATCAACCAGAATGGATCGACTTCTTGTTGTTTTTGGTTCACTTGAGGCAAAGGCAAAGAAAGCTTTTTTTTCAATTCTTCAAAGACAAAAAGAGTGAGTTTGTTACTATTATAAATCATCATCTAGTGTCTTTAATATTATCATTATTATAATGATGATAATTGTTATTCATATTATCAATCATCATTAAGTTATATAACTATACATTCTTTTCTTCATTATACTTGTGGTAATGTTTTAGAACAATTAATGATATGGAAATATATTTAAACTTGTGTGAAAATTCTATGGTACTTTATTTTGTTTATTGAATTAGCCTATTTTTTATTTAAAAAACTTGGAATTAAAAAAAAATTTGTTATTTCAAGGACGTTGAGGTAGATGGTGATGCAGATAAAGCAGATGATATGTTGAATCAAACAATTAATCGAATTGCAGGTGATATTTTTTTTTGTAATGATTTAATAATTTATATATATAAACAATTTTAAATAAAAGATCTACTAATTATTTGATAAACAATTATTTATATAATTAGGAAAACTTCCAGATCCATTGAAATCGGTAAACCATCTTTCATCGTTCCCAAAATTGAATAACAGTCGTATTTACAAATTGATAAGAGGTTGTATGAATCCTACCTCAGATTATAAAACTGTGAAAAAATCTGCGGTTTGTCACAATCATTTACATATATAGGGCGTATATATTATAATTCATATGTTATATGTTCTCACATCCATTCAATTTTCTTAGAAAGATGCATTAAAATGCATTGAACAACTGTCACCCTCTTCAGCTGAGACATTTTCTACCCTAATACGTCGAATTAGTCTAACCATAATTAATAGGGATTTGATAGCATTGCTTTTAGATAAAATTAGATCTATGGATACTTCTAAACATAATGGCGATTCTATTATTGCACACGAATTATTTAGGGTATTTAAAGATTCTATTACGTATATATTTACATGTTATTAATATTATTTAATATGATTATTAACAATAATATGTTGTTCTTGTAATAATAAATGAAAATAGGAAACATCTCACCGGTTTCCCGCTATATTTAAACCCTACTTTCATGAATTGACAGATTTAGCCATTAATGAAGATGATGAAACTACAGGTACTACTAGCTTATATACATATAGTATTTCTAATTACATAAACCAAACTAATAAATAATTTATTAAGAAGATAGTTTGGAAGTACTTTCTAAATTGGCTAAAACATTTCCTGACGAAACGCCTCAAGAAAGGTTTAGAATTTTGAAATTATTAATTTGATAAATTTATTATTTTTATTTTTATTAAAAAAAGCGTACATGTATTTCAATAGGGGTCATATAGAACGTTTTATGAAATTATCACTTGAAGGAACACCTAAACAAGCCAAATTTGCTACTATTATTTTAGGTCATGTACGACAAAAAGATCAATTGTGCAGTGAATTGTTAAATGTTTGTGTTATAATTATTGCTTTTTTTTTAATTCAATCTGATTCGATCAGTTTTTCATTATTAAATAATTTATTATTATTATAATTCGTTATGTAAGAACATCGTACCAAACCTTTCTGTGAGGTCTGAATATATATTATCAAATCTTTCAGCACTCAGTCAATGTGTTCTTTATGCACCTATTGTATACGAAGAGAAGAGTGACTCGATAACTAATTTTATTGTTAAAGAGATATTAATGAAAAATTATCATAAAGCAGTTCCAGGAGATGATGTTGAATGGGTAGAAGATCATGTAATTGACGATGAATGTAAGGCAAAGGTAAATAAATCCCTAGCAACTGATAAAAAAATTTGAGGAATTAAATATGGCATCAAACTGAAAAGGTTTATATATATAGATAATGGGATTAAAAGTACTGGTGAACCGTTTACTGACAGTTTCTGATAGAGAGGTAGCAGTCGAGTTGGCTAAACCTATTTTTAAATTATTTTGGAATTTAATAAGGGAAGGCGGTGAATTACTTGGTGATAAATCAACAAGGTATAATATTAAATATGTATAATATTTATAATTACACATGTTTATATACAATTTGTATTGACTGTTCTAAACATTGTTTAAAGACCTTCATTTCGGAGTAGATTAAGATTGGCAGCTGTTCACAATTTATTGAAGCTGGCACATAAAAAAATATATAATTCAATGATATCTGTTGGAGAATTTCAAGAATTGGCATTCATGATACAAGTTAGTAGTTTTTTTTTCTCATCCAAAAAATCTTTACTTTATATATATACACCTAACCTTATATTTATTAATGTTTAGGATCCTTGTTACCAAGTGAGATTTGGATTTGCTTCAAGGCTTGTTAAATATTGTGCAAGTTATCTTCTACATGCACGATTCTTGTCTATATTTTTTTTAACTGCACATGATCCTGCGCACGAAATTCGTGATATGGTAAATTTAATAATAATGCTAATAAATTTAAAATTATATTAAAGATATTAATATTAAGTTCAACTAATAGATGTGAATTTTAAATTATACTGCACATATACAATAGGTTAAAGTTTTTTTGACAAGACAATCTCGTGCAACTGGGTCGATCCGTAAGTATTTACTAATTAATCACTCTCAAGTTTAATTTTCTTAACAATAATATTTTTATATCTTTATTCTTTATTGAAGGTGATAAGAATCTGTTGTTTGAGATGTCTTTAGTTAGATTGATTCATCTCCTTTCCCATCATCCTGATTTTTCGCACGAATTAAATGTCCTTTCTGAATTCATAGTGTAAGTAAATCATTATTTATAATCAATAATTTGCAACATATGCACATTTTGAATTATGATATTAAATATAATTATTTCATTTCGTTTGAAAGTTATATAGATTTTTTCTTAAATACAATTGCAGATTCGGAGAATATTTCATATTTGTTTTGTCTTGCAGGAAAATTAAAACAAGTTCGCGATAAACAATCATTAGAACAGAGCGAGGTACGAATAAATCTTATTCTTTGAAAAGAGATTAAAGAAACAGAAAATGGGTTTAATAATAAATTTTTTTGTTATAGAATTTATATTTATTGAGTGATTTGACTCAACATCTAATAAGAGCCAAATGTAAATCTTTTTCTTGGCCATTAACTGATTTTCCTGGAGACGTCAATTTACCTAATGATTTATTTAGCAAACTATCAAATCCCGAGATTATATCACAGGTTAGTAGTATTTTTTAACGATGATTACGATATAGATAATAGTTAACGAATTGGTGATTTTCTACAAGATTACAACAAAAAACTATATCCCAAATGAATTTATGAAAACATTTGAAAAAAAACATGGATCCACACATAATAAAAATGACAAGGTATGATGATTTTATATGTGCTGTTATAAATTATATATAATGATGTATAATGATATTTATTCTGTAATTTCCTTAGTCCAAATCGGCAAAAAAAACGAGGCTGACAAAATCGTAAATATAAAATTCTGTGCTTATATTCTCTTTTCCTCCAAAAGATGGTGATAACGTATCACATCATCATAAATAAAAAATTACACTATTACTATATATTTGTGCACACATACAAAATACATTATCTGTGATTGAGATTTGCCAAAAAAACCAAAATCAAAAAATTTATTCGGTTATTGTTATTTAGGCGCTAAATCTACCAACACTGATAGACCATATTTAGATAATTCTTGGGAAAAATGACCGAAATGAATGAATTCCCATTTATTGATTGATAATAAATAATAATAATTTAACAATTATAGTAAATAATAATAGTCTGGAAATTGTTATAATTTTGGTTACTTTTTTGCTGACAAGAATGTTGTGCAATTAATTAATACATATTTCCATATATTAATTAGTACCGTCATTATTAATATTGTTATTGTTGTTATTATTATTATTGCTCTAGTTAATAAATTCATTCACCTTTACAATTTTTGATAAACGATTTACCAAAAAAATTAAATTTTCTCACATTAAATAAAAACCTTATCGATAAATTCTAAATTTTACCTAATAATGAAAACTCCGAGTCAAATTGAGTTACCTAATTTGAATTTCAAAAAACAATGGGAAAAACTGGTATTAAACGTAAAGCCACAAACAGCTAGACGCCACAAATATTTGTGATTGTGATAACAGAAGCAAATAAAGCAATATTTGCTAATTAACTCATTCCTAATTCCTTCTACTTGGCATTCGCGGAAGCAGGATTGTTAGAAGATCCCAAAATTAGGAAAAATCAACTCTGGAACTTTACGATAACAATTCTTGGTAGTTGATGATTTTGTTTTCTTTCCTCTATCATTTTCCTTGAATCATTTTCAGTTCGTGAAAAGTTTGGCACTTTCGCCGCAATTGATTTGTTGAACACGTTCTTTAGTAATATCCATCAACAACAACACATCATTATGTTTCATTTTTCTACTTAAAAATTTATTTTTTTAAATTTTTTTTATTATGACGTCCAGATTCTTTGTCCAGGAAGTATATACATATATATATCAGTGAAAAAAGATACCTTTTTATTAGAATTGGCAAATAAAACTTGAAGATTCTATTAACAAAATAAAAATAGATTGTTATTTTGCACACAATTATTTACGTATTAAACATTAGCAAATTATGGGTGATTTTCTTGCCCGGTGCATGTCAAGGATGGCAAAAGGGTTGGTGGCGTAATGCCTCTCGAAATAACACCCTATCACAATCACAACAAAAAGACAAAACAAAAATAGAAAATCTTGTCAACAAAGCAAAAACAAAACTGAAGAGAAAAAATTAAACCTTATTGAATTTATACATTGGTTACCCCGATTATTTTTTATAAAAAAGCATGGGTCATATTAAAACCGTTAACATCACAGTCACATTATATCGGCGATCGTGGCGTTTAACAATCTGCCTAATCTGTCTTAATATTTTGAACGATAATAATATGTATATATATTAATTATGGAGTACACAAATATATAAACCTTAAAAAAAGTTATAGTGAGTGATAAACAAAATTGAATTGAATTGATTGAATTGATTGGTGTGTAAAATATTTACCCGATTTAGTAAGAGTTTTTGTGGGGTGAGAAAATATTGTTTCCTTATTTGGGGTAGTCCATAAAAAAAACCTAAAAAACATCCGACGGAGCTTTTCGGGACATGCAAGCACGCTTAACTTTTTTTCCTTTAATACGCACTAAGATATTAATAGTAATAGAGAGAAAGTTGTCCCCCTCCCTACTCTGGAAAAAACTCAAGTTCCGTAGATCTCCGAGACCATCTTAGGATTTCCTGAAGATTGTTTACAAATAAATAAACATACATACATACATACATACATACATACATACATACATACATACATATAGTTTTAATTAAAGTAAAGTTTTACAAATAAACAAACAATTAATGGTTCCTCTAATTTTAATTAAATACAAATTTAGTAAATTTAAACAATTATAACAAACAAAAATACGGATTATAGTTGCAGAAATTGTCTCCGTAATTATTTGAGCTATTTAAGTCAAATGGCATATATAGTTATTTTTAAGAAAATCGAGAATCCGCAATGATTGCCATAATCACTTTTCCTCCAAAAACAAATTATCAATTGATCAATTTATTCATATTAACTAACAATTAACTTGAGTAATTCACTTCGACGACGATTTCTGATTGACGGTCCATTTTTTTGTATGGCAAAAAAAGCTTAACATTTATACATAATGTATATAACTAACAGTCAATTAATAAAGAACATCAAGCAAACAAGTCAACCAGCTTCTATTATTTCATCCTTTTTTTTTAGTAATATGAAGCAATTAAATCATCACCATAACCCTATTTCTAACCCTAGAAAGGTCAATGAAGTTTATCTAAACGTTGAAGTAAAACGCTCTGCGCTAGCATAGTGGAAATTTGAAATGTTACACTAATTTTTTATATTGTGCAACGTAGCTTTACAATACACGGAAAACCTTCTGGCAATAAAAAGTAAGTGATAAACTGGATTTGAATTTGATCCGAACTTGATCTCCAATTTAGAGAGGTAACAACTATACACTGGCGAAGTTTCAGAAGCAATGAGTTCTGTACAACATTTCGTGTAACAACAAACTTCCACTATGCTCTCTGCGCTATGATCAATTGATATATTCTCTATACTCTATATTCTTAATATTGGGTGGAATGTGTCACCGATTGCTTCAACTTAATCTTGATATTATTGTAATTAATTAGTTTGTTTTTGCTAATATTATTTATTAACTACTATTCTTTTGGCGAATAAAGAGCTTTTTGATTGATTGATAATGGACAACAACTCTTTTAAATGATTTGTTAATTGTTTAATGGTCGAATGTTATTCCATAGACTAAAATGAGAATAAATTTTTTTACAATGACATAGAACAGCAAATGCTATATACATCAATCTATCTCTAACAAACAATTTAATCCTTCGAATCATTTTAATTTTTAATTTGTTTTGGCTATGTGTAATCTTTTAATCTTTTGTTTTAAAATCCAATAGCTGCTTTATTTTCGAGGACAAGAAATTATCTTGAAATCATTTATCATGGTACGAGTATAGAAATAGATTCAAAGATTATTCAGACCCTAAAAAACTCATATACATAACCTAGCATCCATGAAATTTGTAAATTACACTCTTGTTTCTGGAAATTTTAACAGGACAATTCGCAATATCTGATGTCTCTGCTACTTCTAATCTTGCTAATCTAAATTATAATTACGCTCAATACAACTTTTCTGTACCCGGGAAATTGTTTGGCTCGTGTCTTCTCAATAAGTACTGCGACAGTTGTTTACAGAATCGGCCGAAAAAAAGCACACCAAATCAATATTTATAATAAAAAATGTACAAATGAATAATATTTATTTTTTAATTGTTTTGTTAAATAATTTTTGGCCAATGATAAACAGGACCCTGAATACGCCGCGGGCATAAAATTTAAAAATGCGTTACACAACCCCAACATCTTTACCGCGCGGGTCAAAATAGATAAATCATGTAAATCTCTTTAAATATGGTGCCGAATTAACTAAATATCGTATTCAGGGGTCATACCGCGCTGGTAACTATGCAAATCTTTCTAAATATCGTAATCTATATAACTGGGCTTTCTAATTAGAACCCTGTAGTTCCCATTTCCTTGTGATACTATTTTATTAATATACCTTTTTTAAATTACTGAAAATCCATGCGTGCGTGTGAAATTAAGACAATTATATTTTTCCGTATTCTTTCTCTTACACAAACTTCTCCTTTAAATTTCTTTTTTAATTAGATTAATTTTGAATATAATAACAATCAATCTGAACTCGGCTCCAACTCGGAGTTTTCATCTTCTTCTATTAACTAGTACTATTATTGTTATTATTGTATCTATTGTATCAACAAAAACCCGAGACAATTTTTATATGAAAATAAAAAATATTGCGAATTTTTTTTATATAATTGTTCAATCAATTTTGATTGTGTTTTTCCCACAAAAATTACACAACGAATTTCCATTCATCGAATTACAATAAAAAATAATTCATTCACAAAAAAAATTGCCGCAAATATATATTTTTAATTAAGATTTTTTTATAAATATGCATGCACCCCACACTTTCATGTAAACACAAAATAATTTAGTTTGTTTATTATTATTACCATACATACATACAAATAAAACAAAGAACATGTGACTATTTATCACTTGATCGTTGCTTTAGTAATTCTTTTACTTTAAATTTCAATATTTTTTAATTGACTTGACCCATTGCTTTACTGGGATAGCTCTCAAAACAATCATCGTGTTTGAGTTCATTATAGTTTGTTTCTTGGGTTCTTATATTTCTGTTCTTTGTATGATATGGCATAAAAACAAGTTTATTAATTGGTTATTCGCTTATCCTTCAACAGTTCGTGCGACGACATTCGTTGTGTAAATGTTATTAGTTAGCTATCCTTAATTTGTAAATTAGTTTTGCTATACCTACAATGTGCCCATACAGCTTTGTCAAATAATGTGTTGTATTGCACCAACACCACACATGACACTCTCTATACCTAAGCCTCTCGCATATATGTTAAACATTCACGCAACTAAGTTATCATAAATTGACTTTGGTATTGTTCTATCTAATGTTACCATTTTGTGTAATAAAACAAGAGATTAACTTTCCAGCAAAATAATTGACTTAATGTGGCTAACTTCATTGGATCTCGGAATCTTAATGCAATTTAATGCAATTGTGTCTCATAGAAAATATTCCTCTTTCAAAAAACAAAATCACGTGATTTGGTTGTTCTGGAGAGCGGATATGCATATTAAATAAACCTTAAAGACGTTTGAATGATGACCAGCCTAGCTTGCTAATAATAAGATGTATTATTGCTTTCACCCCAACGTAGTGACAAGGAATTCAAATTAATCGACTTATTCTATTAACATATATGTACGACATGATATCTAATCTATCTTTACGTCAATCTTTAACTTGTTGTGCCAACATTTGTAGCAAGAATCACCATTTCTAAGATTTAAACAATCACCAAAAAAAATATAAATATATTATTGTTGGACATTTAGCTCGCTGCGTTGAATAACTTTATAAAGAAAAGGTAACTTCGTTTTTACACTACTAATTAGATGTGTGTTAACTTTATCTCCAAATTCTGTCAAACTAGTACATACATACGTTAATAATATATATCAACATGTACATGAAATCTTTATGTTTAGACAATCTCTAACTTGTTAATAAAAGAAATGTGAACCATTAAAGCATCTGGCTTGTTATATGTGCATCACTCTAGAATATATATATATATGCCATAAATCATTGCATATTTGGACACTCTGAATGTTAATAAAATTAATGTGCAACTCCAGCCAGGATTATATCATGACTCTCTCTATCTCAGTTTAATAGTTTGGCCCTCAAGTAACGAGTTTTTACTCCAACATATATAATATGATTCTGGAAATGTTTGGACAGTCATTCATTGTGATCAAAGTATTCGTAGGTATGTTCTGCGCATTTATATCAACACTTGAGGACTTTCCTGCTATATAAAAATAAAAAAGAAGGTCGCGTTCTCTTTCCACATTAACCAAAGATTCTAAATCTATTTGCTTGTAGGTATTAATGTTTTATTTGATGTAAATATGAACTAATGGTATTTTTATTATTGATTTTTCCATAATAATAATGTTTTTTACAAGCGTTTAATTTTTGCTCTAATAATTTTTGTCAGTCGAATCAGGGATCCTATTATTACTATACAATGTGAATAAATGAGTAAGAACAATCAAGAAGTATACCTTATCATATTTCTTTTACTTCAAAATTTTCGAGTATTGTGCGCATTGTGCGCTTTTTACTCTTTGTCCTGATTTTTTGCTTTATTCCGTCGTTGTCAAATATATATACTAATGATATAAAAATGAATCAACGCACACTCCAGCATCCTATTAACTAATTTATATAAAACCACAAGTAATTTTTTTTGTAATTTTTTTTTAGTAGAGGTAGGACTTGGTTAATTTCAAGGTAAAAAAAGATTATCAATTTATGGACTCATGAAGATCATTTTAATATTAAAATTTAATTTTTATTATTGTTACTTGTTTTACCTTTTTTTATTATGTACAAAAATAATTTTTTTAATTCTATAATTACTTTTTTTTTTTTTTAAATTAAAATAAAAATAAAATAATTAATGTTCTTAATTAATTTCATAAATTATTTTAATATGATGAATATGAGATGATGATTTGATTTATATGACTAGTTGATATGGTAATGTTTGTATGATAAATAAATTATATAATTAGCAAATCTAAAATAATTCCCTTTTTTCTTAATTTTAAATCAAAAAAAAACTTAATGAAGGCTATAAGAATTTGATTTTTTTAAATATTTAAGATATTGATTATTTCAAAAGTTTGAAGAAAGTTTTAAATCAAAAAAAAAAAAAAAAATGCAAAATAAATCCATCTTTATATTTTTACCATTATTGCACCACTACCACTAATAACTACTATCATCGGATGATGCACATTGACAAATCATCTATTGAAAACCATAATAGAACACCATTGTACAATCACTCTGACGCTAGTTGCTATATTAACAGCTTTATCAACTAATCCATTATCTTCCTCTTCCTCTTCCTCTTGATCTTCTGATTGTGTTATATCATTAATATTTTTAGAAGATGACGTTGAAGATATTATTCTTGGTGGTGATTGTGAACAACAAAAAGGAATTGGTTGTATTGTGCTGGTGGAATTGTATGAAGACAACAATGATGATGATGATGATAACGATGATGATGGACTAGAATCAAAATCAAATATATCCAAATCATCAATATCCAAATCATCATCATCATCATCCATCCAAGGAAATTTTGATGGTGTATTATTTGAGGAAGATGAAGTCGTTGTAGATGGTGTAGAAGATGAAGATGCTGCATTATTTTTATCGTTCTTATTATTATTAATATTGTGATTTGTTGAAGAAAAAGCATGATCATAATTACAGTCATAGTCATAGTTATAGTCATAATTAAAGTAACTGTCGTTACTGTTGTCATTTTTGTTACTGGTAGAATACCCGGGTTTTAATTTTGTAGGAGCAATTTTACATATTGTAAAACAATCCTTTTTCTTTTTCATAATTTTCTTATTGTTATTGTCAATACTATTTTCCTTGTCGTCTTTATCCTCCTCTTCCTCTTCACAATCAGAAGAATCTATGGCTATGCATTGTTCAACTTGGTCATTAAATCTAATATGATGATTATGTTGATTACTTTCACGTTCAATTGGTAATAGTATTGATTTAGTTGGACCAGCTATAGGAGTAGTTGGAGCCGATATTGTAGAACAAGTTGATGCAGTTTCACAATCACTGCCAAGATCGCCGTCGCCACAATTATTATTATTTATTATCATTGATGTTGTTGGTATTATTGAAGAAGCGGTCGTCGATATTATATCTTTATAATAATTAGTAATATTAATATCATATTGGTTTTTGTCGCTAATTGTATTTGTAGCACAAGATTTAGGACGTAATATTTCAGATATTTTTTTCTTTTTCAGACAAGATTTAGATTTTGACGTTGATGTGAACATTTGAGGTGATGATGTCGAAGAATTGGTACATGGATCAGAAGATATAGATAAAGCAGGTGATACGAGTGATGTAGGTGAAGAATGTATATCGTTAACGTAATTAACGTAATCGGTATTGTTAGAATTTGATAATGGTGGTAATGGTTGCGATGAGGCTTTCATTAAATGGAATTCATCTTCGGTGTGAAAAGGACCGTACAACCATGTAACATCGTTATCTTTAAGCCTAAAAATAATAAAAATTGAGATTAATAAATATATTTTTATTAAATACCAATATATCAATTTGTGCAGCAGCAGGTCCATTGATCTATCTTACCAATTGATTTTTTCAGGATTAACGGTTCTCAAATGATATTTCTGTTTTGCCCAGGTTCTCCAGGAAGCATTTTCCAATCTGATACCATTAGCGATCTCTTTTTTTTGTTTAGACATTGCCTTCCATGAAGTCCAAATATCATCTTCCTTTTTCCACTCGTGGGACAAATAGTCAACACAGATTTCTGGAGGATGTTTTACACCAGGCGTTATTCCGGTTAAATTGTCATCAGGAATTATCATTGCTATTGTCATTATTATTTTATTATTTTAAAAAGCTGTTTGAAAAGACGTAAAGAGGGAATTTTAAAATAGAGAAATAACAAGCGAGAAAAAGTTGTGATTGTAATATTTTTTCTTTTTGGAATATGTTTTAAAATGGCGCAAAAGAAAAGGGAAGACGGTGATGAATTAATAATGATGATGATGATGATGATGATGATATTTATTAGTTAATAATAAAATGTTTTTTTATTTCTCTTTATCAAAAGGAAATTTTTTGTTTTTGTTGTTGGAAAAAAATATATATATATATAAAAATTAAAATTAATGTTTATATATAAGTTTTATTTTTTTATATATCACAGTATTATTATGTTGATGTGATGATGATGATTAAGCACTCGGATAAGAAAATTATATTATTAATGAAATTAAGAGTTGCATTAAACAGGTAAAATAAAAAAATAAAAATAAAAAATAAAAAGATATTAAAGATAAGAGTAAAAAATAATTCTTTTTTCTTTTTTTTCTTTTTGCGTTTTCTTTTTCTCTTTCTTATCAAAATTTAATCGTGCTTATATATATGAATTTTCTGATATGCAAGTGTGAGAGAAAAGA